GGCAACGCGGGGCGAGAGGACGCTAGCGAATCGCTCGATTCGAGTCTGACGTCGGCCTAAGAGGTTACCTTGAGCGGGTTCTTCTGCCTGTCCAGTTCTCCCCTTTCAATCATCGCAATCTCTTCACGAATCGACAGCAGAGCGTCAACTAGTCGATCCATTTCTCCTAGAAATTTTGTCAATAGTGAAAGATTACTTGAAGGTTTTAGTCATTCGTTCAATCAAAAAGAACAGATAGCAACCTCATGGCAACTGCCACGCTTTTGTCTTTGTCGACAGCCCAGCAAACTAAATGTCAGTTATTCAAACTGTCAACCCTTTATCAATTCACCACTTGCTAATTTGCTACTAAGAAAATAGTCGAGCTTGGGCACGACAGAAACTCAAAATTATTGAAGGGGCAAGAACAAAGAAGTTCGACTTCCAAATGCCTTTAGACTAAAGTTGCTTGTGACTGAAGGTAACAGTCTTACTAGCGGTCGGCTTCCGCTGGTCACTATGTTGGCCAAATGGAATGGGAATGGATGGTGGACGAGATGTAGTGGGGGGAAGGGTGCAGTTGGGGGTGTGATATATTACATAAAATGTGAAAAAATAACAACAAAAATGTGCTGTTCGGGGGTTGTGGGCGGAGTTTGCGCGGTGGGCGGAGTCGGAATATGGCTAATACGGGGGGTCCGTGAGCCAGGGGGTGTGCGTTTCTTACATTACTTTCATTTGCTATTCTGAAAAGCCGAATTCATAGCGCACGGCCACTGATATCATAATTTGTCACTTAAAAGTAGCGATCATGATGGTTGGAGACCTTTGCGATCTCGATGATGTCGTTGAAGCTTATTGACGGGTACCCCCCAGGAGGCCCGTCGCGCGGCAAGAAGGCAAAGTCAGCGGACGAGTCGCGCGCGTACTATAGGGATTTCGCGTCAAGTTAGAGTGTCCCATTGCACGTCCTACATCGCACACCACGCGCTGCAACTCGTCCGCCGACTCTGCCTTCTTGCCGCGCGACGGGCCTCCTGGGGGGTACCCCTTATTGATAGAAGGGCCTCAAAAGACGGTCTCAATCACATCACTCAGCGCGTTGAAGCGTCCAGTCCACCATCGACATTCAGCGACGTCAAAAAAACACTGCCCTCCAACCATCGTGATCACTGCCTCTGATATTTTTTCCACTTCGACCTACCACTTTTCCTTTGTGATTAGGACGGAATACACGTTTCCTTTGTAACTAAAGATTGAATTTACACTGAAAAGGCAACCCGCTTCAAATTAAGTCAAGGATGGTCAGCGGTACAAGGAAGAAGAAACCATGAGAAACGGCCCGAACCCGAGAAATGGGACCCCTTTCCTTGCCCGTTGATTTCCGCATTGATGCGACTCTCATCGTGCCCTCTTCAACGCTAATGCTCTCTCTGCTATGTCGGTGAACAAGCAACTGCGCCAAGTGTGAGCCATGCTAGACGCCGAGGTCAAATCTTTCACTAATTGCATGACGGTCCTGGCAGTGGGATTCTTCGTAATATCCCTATTGATCATAGATTACTTAGTTATTTGAATTTTTTCAGGAGGAAAAGAATCCAGTAGTATTTAAAATTTATTGGAATCAATATCAAAGATTTCAATAGCAAAAATTGGTGGCATACATTGTCTGTACACAAGTATTACAGAGGGTCTTATCAAATCGTCCATGAAGGAGGGGGTCGTGAAAAATTTCCAAAAAGTACCAACGGTAGGGTTGACTCTGCTCCCAACTAGGCAATTTTACCCTTCTTTGACCTTTGTTCTTATTGTGGAGTCCCCCTTTGAGTGAGGCAAAATTTGCTAGGATTCAGGAATAACCTTATCACAATAAGCGCGGACAATTAGTGCATGTGGATGGCTTTATAAAGTGCTGCTGCTACTACACAAGATTTCCCTTTATCTTTCTCGAGAGGCTGAAAAAATGAACATCTACATCAGGCTAGCAACAATTATCACCACACTCAGCTACATAGTATACTTATTGATCGTCTGATGTACCACTTCTCATTCGCAACATACCTTTGTCCTCAGACTCCGTAGGTTCAATCATCAAGCAGTCATGTACTGGCCATGACATTGTCGGTGAGTGGAATCTTGAACATTGAAACGTTACGGATATTTATTTCACAGAATTTAAGGCGAGTTTCGGAAGCACAGCTGCAAAACAACCAACCCGTAATCCATCAGTCTCTTCGCAACATCCACAACTTCGATACCGGCCGTCTTTTTGAATGGCTTGAAGTCAAGAATGAACTCATGAGCCACCAGAATGTCTAGAAGAATGAACTGATATACGAAGTTATACTGCTCGTCTGAAAAAGCAAGTATGCTAAATGAGACTTCTCTGACTGAATTCCTTTGCATGCCTTTGTACACGATACGGATAGGCTCCTTCCAGACGCCTGGCCATGTAGTTTTGCGTTGAGAATCGCCATCTGGGAGGCCTTCTTTCAGACCGTTATGACCCATCATACGAATATATATTAGGACCACACGTTGATCTCGTCCGGCAAATATGACCAAACAAAGCTCAGCTTCGAATTGTCTCTGTTCCAGATTTCGTGCCCGAATTTTGAACACTACTTCAATTCCGCAAGGTTAAGACATGTCAAAGTGAGATTGGCGTTAGTTCTATTTACCGTTAAAGCCTCATAATACTGAGTTCCACAATCCTGACAATAAAACTAAATGAGGATTAGTAACCAATGTTTAAACACACCTTGGCCGATTCCCCATGGTGCCATCCAGGCGAAGCGCGCCGGTCAACTGTCATCATGCGTTCGACCGGAATCACTGATGCCAGGTAAGAATTGGTTCTGCCACGTGCTCTCTATTACAGACGCCAACATCCACTCCCGAATATAACTTCACCGGAGCGAAATGACCACGTCGTATAGGGCATGTTTCCGATGAAGTAGCTATTTGAATTTGAAGGCAAGAAGAATCTGCGCAGTGCCTCCAAAATTACAATCGATTTCTAGTCATTTTTTGTTGTGCGTCGTGGCCAACACCTAGATGATGAAGGTTCTGCTCATCAAATTGCTGTACGTCGAACTGACGTGATGCGTTTCCACTTATTATTTCAGCCGTCGTTATTCGCCATTGCGGTTAAAATAATCCAGTGACGACATTTGCAGCAATGCAAGGTGGCCTGCTATTTGAAAAAAGGGGAAAGGCCAAGCGTACGTGATTAGACTCAGCAAGAAGAACCCTCCCGTTCAGTGCTCTGCACTCTACCTTTGGTGTCCATTGTTAGAAGCTTTACTCTGCAAGGTATACTCTGGCGAACTTTGATGAGATCGTTGAAAGGTTTGGAAAAGTGACGAGAAGAAGAGAGACTGCAGAGTAATGGGTTAAACTGGTTTTCCCTTTGCTAAGGCGTGTTCTCCCTTTGCATTAATTCCAAGAGCTTTGAGGTGGTGAAGAGGTTTCGATGTCCGCGCTAAGTTCTTCCAAGCCATAAATCCTGCTTATTCTGTGCGTTGCACACCAGGTTACGCTATGGAAGAAGATGTTCCTTGCCAATCATAGAATGTGTCCTTATATTTGCTTGGTTGCTAGCCACCCATCCACCATCAGCAAATGTGACTAGTGAAAATGGCCAAAAAATAGCCACTATTCCCTTGGATAACTGATGTTGTCTGCCAAAACTTACTGGCGCGCGTTATCAGTCCCCCCTTTTTTCTTTGCTATCAACGGCTTGCCTCCTTATGTCGTCCTTTGACGACTGATTTCACTTGCCGCGTGCTTCTTGCAGCTTGAAAGGATAAGGTAGAGCGCGTAAATGGACTGGCTAGTTTCTTTGCCAAGCTCCATTCAAGACTTCGACTGGTATTGAACTCACACGCCTATGGGACCGATTCCTGGTCCACCACCACCGTGTGGAATACAGAACGTCTTGTGTAGGTTAAGATGCGAGACATCACTGCCGTAGTCACCTGGGCGGCACAGACCAACCTGAAATCTTATTAGCTTAATTTCATGAGAGCTATACCCCTTGCATGTTAGTTGGACCATATTTTGGATGTGCTTCTAGACGCTGATCTCGAATTGCTCCCCGGAACTGCCAATCGATTTTCTGAACGGAGTTATGAAGGAAAATAGAGCAGCGGTAGTGGTCCAGGTTCACGGGTGAGAGGTCGTAGGACCGATTCCTGACGGGTTCTCCCTTTTCCTTCGCAGGAACGTGGTTGAAAAAGGCTCCCGACTACATGTCATGTCTGCTGCTTGCTGCCGTATTCGCGTTGTGAATTTTCACAGCCCGCAATGTCATTTCGTAGCGCAATGACCCGCGTGGGGCGAAAGCTCCGTTCATAAGAGGCCTCTTCGACCCATCATCCTCTACTGGTGAGTCGAACGTTGGCAGCTCCTCCCACTTCCTCATTGCTTTGCACATTTCAGCTTCAACTCCCTCCTAGAAGATAAGGCCGGTAAGGGAAGGAATTCCCGAGCGCGGCGACCTAGTTTAGATGCGATAACACTTGTGCGGTAACAGTGGGAAGGGTGTCGCAAATCGCGAGGATCGCTCCAAGGGAATCCCGGGTGCGCCGGTGCCTGCGGGCGAGTTGCCGTCATGACCCCTATCTACTGTCTTCGTGATCGCGCGGCAACGTGCGGTGCTGTTATCGACAGCAACATCACGATCCCTCCCGGGTACCATTCTTCTCTCTTCAACGGGCTCAACCTCTCGTCAACTTCTCAACCCTGCACAGCAACCCCGCAGGGCTCTTGGTCCCTAGAACTATTCCTGGATTTCCCTACAGTCCATTCGAAGTTATTCCTAGCACAGTTGATCTCTTGACGGGTCAGAGGTAGAAACCGACCTACTCTCTACTAACCTCCAGTTGTACACTCGGTTGACGTTAGGTTTATAATGAGTAGACCGTAAAGATGCTATGTTTATGTGCGTTCTTTACTGTAGGAGGACGTACTCCTAGTTTGTGGTATTTAACAGTTCACTGATTTGAAATTGTGTCGGAAG